AAAGTAACTGTAAATTTCGTTACCGTTACCCAAAAAATGTAACTCGTTACCGTTACAGTTACCAAAAAAAGAAAGTAACGCAGTTACCAGTAAAGTTACCAAAAAAGTAACTTGTAACTGTAACTTCGTTACAAGTAACGAGTTACTTCCATTCCCTGATATTTTTATATTTTTATTTTTATACATATTTTGTTTTTTAATATCCGTTGTAATGTTATAATATCCGTATATCGTTAACGATTCTCGCGACTTTTTAAACATTGATAATGACCTAACAAAGGTCGAAACGTTTGTTTTTATTAATTTTATATATTTTTATATTTTTATGTTTATATTAAATTTTATATATTTTTAACACAATGACATAATTAATTTACCATCAATATTATAATTCAACGAATTTTTAGGCTCATAGCTCTGTTTCTTCTTATTATTACCTAAATTAAATTTATAAGAGCAATGGAAGTATAATTAACATAAACATTTGTTTGGAGCTGTACGTGATCCATCGAAATGGAGGTTTTTCTCTTTTACTGCAACGTGAAGTCACCGAATTTTTATAAGGTAATTTTATGCGTGTGCGTGTGCGTGTGTGAGCGTGCGAATGGGAGTGATTGCATATGCTCATGCGTATGTAGCGATTATGTGATCGCAGCGAGGGACCCCGTACCAGGCTCGGATTAAGGGGGGGCAAGGGGGGCTGTAGCCCCAGGCCCCACGGAAATAGGGGCCCCGGTTACATTAAAGAAAAAATTTTAATTCTTTGATTAAAATTAAAATTAAAATCATTCAAAATTATTTTTAATCTTAAAAAAAAATGGTAAAGGTATAGAATACCCCGTTCAGCTCAAATTTTGATAAAAATACACTCATTCGACGAGTTTTTGCACGAAACGAACGAATCTGGCAATAAAAAGTGCCGCTCTTCCCTCCGAACAGAGATACTTAGCGTTAAAGTTGACGACTATTCAGGTTAGGAAATCTGTCTTTCCGACTACATGTACGTAGTACTACGCGCATGCCTTCTTCATGCTCTCTGACCACATGCGCATTCGTTTAGCCACGTTTAAAATCATATTAAAGAATTAATTAGTTACTCGTATTATTTCAGCTATAAATGTATGATGTTAAGTACTATTGGTAATTACACAGAATAGTTACCTCAGCTCAATTATAGAAGTCGTATATGTACCAGGTGTATGCATATGATAGTGGATTTTTTTAATAGAAAATACACGTTTATTGCATGAAAATGATAAAAAATATTTTATTCGAAGTATTTACCATCGCTAGCTATACATTTTTGCCACCTGCCTAACAATTTGTGGATGCCACGCCAAAAAAATTGTTGCTTTTTTGAGCCAAACCAGTCATCTAGCCATTTTCGTACATCTTTCGTAAGAAGTGAAGCGCTGCTGAGCAAGTGCGTGTCCCATCGATGCAAATAAGTAGTAATCGGACGGAGCCAAGTATGGTGAGTAAGCGGCATGCGAAAGTATTTTACAATCAAACGTCTCAATCGGTTCTTTGACCTATTTTGCTGCGTGTGATGGTGCATTATCATGAAGCAAAATCACTTTATTTTGGCTTTTTTGATATTCCGGTCGTTTTTCACGCAAAGCTTGACCGACTCAAATTGATCATTTGTTGTCGATAACGTTCAGTATTAACGATTTCGCCAGGTTTTAGCAGATTTCGATGGTTTTCCACGTTTTTCGTTTCTCACGTCAAAATCGCCACTTTAAAATTTTTCAAATAAATAAAAGCACTGTGATTTACCAAGAGCATGCTCACCGTAAGCTTCGACAAGCATTCGATGCGATTCTGCAGCAGTTTTCTTCAAATGGTAACAGAAAATCAATTGCTGTCCGCGAATCGTAGTTTCCAGGCACAAAATTCGACATGTTCAACGCTATTAAAAAC